TACAGATCTTGTTTAGAGTGTTAAGGGAATATTGTAATATTAAATATTTAAGACCATATATATATACATATATACATACATCGTATGGGTATATATTAGTGTGTCAAATGTATTTTATCTTGTATATATTTATTAGACTACTTTTTTAACAGTGTGATGCCATGTAATAAACACACCTAATCCCAAAGTAATCAGACCTTGTACTATGGGTACTAGACAGTTATTTAGTTCTTATTAATAGTAGTTATCAGATGACAGATATATTTATAAATACAATATGCTGTATGTTTGTATGTTTAATAATGGGCCTCGTTTTTGTTATGTTTATTTGTTAAATGCAAATGCATGTTCACTTGTAATATAAGATTTTTCATTTTCCATTTAATTATTTTCATGTTATATAAAATACTATATAAAGCCTCGTGATACTAATTTTGCATTCCAAAATTAATATAAATCTATTAAATCAGCAATTTGCTTTAATCTATGACTAGCTTTTACGTACGACTTCGTGTAACCGGTATAGGTTCATTGACCGGGACAAAAGGTAGATTACGTCCTTCTTCATATCAAATAAAACATGTACATCAAATTTTATAGAAATTAATTAAACAGCTTAGAGGTAGTAAGCAGGCAAAACCGATTCCATATTTATCTACACTAATCTACATCTACACTTATAAAGAGGAAAGGTTTGTATTTTTTGTGTGTATGTATGTTTGTAATGAATAAACCTAAAAACTACTTTGCCGATTTCAAAAATTCTTTCACCATTACAAAGCTACATTCACCCTGAGTAACATAGGCTATATTTATTGCTAGAAAAGATAAGGGATCCTTACTAAAACTTTAGTAACGTAACTCAAGGTGTAAAAAAATGCTATAAAATATCTTTCATTGCGTGCGCTGCGGAAACTATTGGTGATAGAACAAAAGTATGTTCTACAATATTGAAGAAAATATCAATAACTACAAAAAACTTCGCAATACCATATGTCCTACTATTATCGTTATGTCACAATAATCACTTTTTAAAATGTTGTAAAAATGTCCAACCGTGCGAAGCAGGGACGAGCCGCTAGTAATATTAATAAAGAAGTTAGAACAAGTAAGGGTAGCATAAAAGGCCTCGTACACAGAACTGTCTATTTAAAAAATGTACGACTCTTGCTGTCGGCTCTTTATGGAACAACTAATGAAATATATCAGGTAAATGTACCAATATACCGACATAGAGCAGAGTTTATGTTTCTTGGGAGATTGCACGTGGGTGCAGAATGCAGTGCGGTGTTCTGAACTAATGAGAACATATACACACCTTGGGAAACATTAGGTGCACTGCAGGCGAGACTGTTTGCCTATTTGTGGCCTAAGCGACACGTGCGGCAATGTGTACGTATTGTTTTCGTCCGCGGTGTAAACGATAGAGGTACTTTTTGTCCGTTGATAATACCTATTGTACAAATCGTGTTTAAGACGTGTGCATTGTAGCAGTACAATGTAGATGGTTTTATGACTCGACTAAATTGTACGTCGCCCTCATTGGACTTAAAAGTCTGGGAATGTTTGTTTGCGGACAAAATGTCCGAGGACATTGAGGTGCAATCCTTTATACATGATTGTAAACATGCTACAGTTGGCACGAGGACAGTAATAAAGAAATAATTAAGTTCTTTTTTTAAATTTCTTAATTTTAGTAAGAACGCTTTTTTTTTTATAAAATATAAATTTACAGCTTTCCGCCACGATCAAAGATTCCTTGTTCTTAGGCATCAAGCCAAAGTAATATATTTTCACTTCTATCAATATTAAGTACAAATGTCAGATTTGACACATGTTTACATGGGCGTGACGTCACATTCGACGCCATAACACCTGCAAGCGTTTTGATAAGACATTCGAAATTCGATATACAACACTTATATATTATAAAAGTTTGTTACTGAACAAGTCAGTTTTGAACAATAATAATTTTGTTTTCTGGCTTTAATAAACCTGTAAGTGTATACACAAAACACATATTTTTAAAGTTACCATGCTTATTACTATGTATAATTAACACATATCTACATTCTAATTTTTAATGGGAGTCAAACAACTACATATGAAATGCTAATATTTAAATATGGAACAACAGTTCTCGTGATTGACAATGCATGATGGGCGAAATGGACGTTAAAGAAAGGGAAGCTATTGTACCTTGATACATTTTTCATTAAAACATTTATAACATTAAAAATATAATCAAAACATTTGTATTTTAAAAAGAAACTAATTGAGCTCAAAATAACAAAAATATACAAAAGTACATGTTAATATCGTAAAAGTTTTTTTTAAATTATTTTTACAGGGAAAGGCAATTTGATCAATCAAGGTGCAGCAATACCAACGTATTTGATACAGCATATGCTGCACCTTGACCATAGGCAGTTTTAAGACAAATAAAATGCAATGTGGAATCCAATATCAATGCTATATTTAATTTTCTATATTTCTTACAATTATATAACTCACGCAATAACAAGAGAAACTATATTGAATACAAATATATTAGTCATTAACTTATTTATTATCTTTTATCTATTCAGTTTGAGGCTAAACATGTTTTTTTTCTTTTATATCACACATATTTTTCTTAATCAGTCTCATAGTTTATATGAAAATAAAATATATTTACTTCTTATTTGATAACCACATAAACAGTTGAAATATTTAGAGTCTAAAGTGGGAACATTAGAATAGAACATAAACAAGGTTGTTATCATCGTAATTGGAATACAATAGCTTGTTGTTCATTTGTATATGTTACTTCTAATATTTTCGACATTTCACGAACGGAATTCAGTCTCAGAATTAGTTTTATTAGATTATTTTTTTAATATCTGCCCATAGATATAAATTTCGAAAATAGTGCAACTAAACCGTCGAACAATGCAGATGCAAATTAATATAATTTCCCTCTCCGTTATTTCTTGTAAATAGAACTAGCTTTTTAGTCCGTTTTGTTCTATTAGTAGGACTGAACGGATTTATTAGTTCGTTTAGTTCCACTAGTAGAACAGAAGAGTTCGGTTCTACTAGTAGAACTAAATCGTAGAACTATACAGATATAATCCTTTTACTAGATATTTCAGTTTTTTCAGAATTATTTGCATAAACTTGATTAGCAGATGATTGTACTGTTGAAAATTGTCTGATGTCGTAATTGACTATAAAGGACTCTTGTCTTCGCTGTTGTTATCTTCTGTACCTTAACCAGAATACAGACAACACTCTCAACTTTACCTATATATTCTATATTTTATAAAAAATAGGATAAGTTTAGCAAATGTCTATATAGCACAACGAAAATGCTAATAAAGTAAATTTCTTAAACAGCAAGTTATGAGATGTTTCGTATTTAATACATTTAGTACAGTATTTAGTATTAATTATATATTATCAAGAAATTTAATAAAAATAAAAAATATAAAACTTACCTTTAAACGCTAAAAAATGTATAACCGCATCACCTCTAAATGTTTAGAAATTATCATTTGCGTCTTACTTCATATTGTTAGTTTTTTTTTTAACATCAACTAACCATAGATAATCACCGGTAAAAAGAATAAGAATTGAAAATCTTCACATGATCAAGGTACGGCAACTTCCCCTATGTTATGAGATATCTATGCTATAAGACATTATATGATAGGTATAAATAAAATACTCTCATGCAACATAAAAGTACCTTAATATTTAAATTACCAATAAATAATTTGCAAATTAAACATAAATAAATGAGCAAATAACACATTTAAGACTTGATATACTTAACATGAACAACTTTATTAGTTTGGAGTGTCCTTTATATCACTTGATCAAGCAGATATTAAAACCTAAGTGGCTAGCCATAATCTCTGAACACTAACGTGCACAAGAGTTAAGCACTATCGGCGTAATTCGGAAGTTATCTGTGAAGTCCGAGTCTCAGACGTCTTAAAAGAGTTACGCTCTAACAGCGTAATTCGGAAATTATCTGTGAAGTCCGAGTCTCAGACGTTTTAAGTTAAAAGAGTTACGTAGTAACAGCATAATTCCGAAATTATCTGTGAAGTCCGAGTCTCAGACGTCTTAAGTTAAAATACGAGTAGTTACGCACTATCGGCGTCAAAACAACCTCGACATAGAGGGCTGTCTGTGGCTCCTGTTGTGTATAATTTTTTTTAATGGGCAATTGCCCGTTATTGTCCCTATTATTAAGTTTTTTTTCTATTTACATATAAGAAATGTTTTGATAGTCGTTGATTCAACGTTCGCAGGGCCAGTTTTTTGCCGGCAATCAGTAGACTGTATCCATCTTTGGTTTTGTATGTCAGCGGATCCTTGACAAATCCATGTTCGAAACTGCGAGAACGGAAGAGGAAGAAGTGGATACATGCCCACCACTTTCGTTCCAGAATCCCTTTTAGCTAGCTCATCTGCGGCATCGTTACCATACGATCCACTGTGCCCTCTTATCAACTGGAGGATTACTCGATTATTGTAAGATATCTTATCCAGTGCCCGGTGGCATTTGATTATTAATTTGTTATTTGTCTTGTTGTTTTGTAGTGCTTTTAGTACCGCTGTGTTATCACATCAGAATCTAATGCCAATATCATTTATTCCCAGCTTATGTACAGCTGCAGCAGCCTCGGTTATTGCTACACATTCGAATTGGAATATTGAGCTGTGTACGCCAAGCGGTATGTGTATGTTTATATTAAGGTCTAAGGAAAAGACTCCGGCTCCTGAAACGTTCTCAGTTTTGAAGCCATCGGTGTATATGCGTGTGCGTGTTAGTAAGCGTATTTTAGTATGAGTGAGTGTATTTTAGTACGGGAAGTTGAACTAAAATTACGAATTATAGCTACAGCCATGACTTTTTAAAGTTGTTCATGTTGATTTATATTTTAAACTTTAAGATGATATAAGAATGATTTTTTAATTTAGAAAAAATATAAGTAATAGAACATTACCGCCAGAGACGTTTTCTAACGTAAATGCATTGAACTTCCACAGCACTGACTGATTCAGGATGCACTGCAAAAAAGCAAAACAGTTTATTATTACAATACACACATGGTGGCTATTGGTAGTACCATGAATCACGTCCTGTATCGAGGTTTATTCGCTCTAGCGATAAATTAAAAAAATATTCGCAGACATTCAGCGCAGAAACATTAAGAAAATGCAAATGGTTGCGTTCGGCGAAGTCGTTGACCTCTCTGTGTAACTGGAAATATATAGCTTCGTTCGAACGAAACAAAGATGCATTATTGTTTACCAGATTCTTGGCTGATTGTCAATGTCCACTGCATCGGGCAGGAATTTTAATACTACGTACAAACGAATATGCCTATGTAGTCGCGTAAGGCGCCCATTACACGATACGTTTTGCTGTCCGTTTTAGTTGAGTCAAGGTATTATAGAAACTAGATAATTAACAGAATGTACAGTGCACTCTATTCTAAATACGATTGGCGGAGAACGAATTTCGACTTAATGACGTTGAAATTAGAGTTGAAATTTAAACGTTAATAAAAATTTACGATTATTAACCTTTAAAGGATGATGGTAGTAGATTGCATCAAACGCAGTCTTAAAAGTGACATAATATAATATTATGTCAAAAAAAAACCTACAATCGTGACAAAATTATTATTTAGATTAAAAACTAAACCATTGAATGATTTTAACTGAACTATAGTGTTTGTACATGGGGGATGTTTAATAAAAAATGATATGAATGAATACTTATATGTTGACGACCAAATACTGTTTGTATCGTCAGAGTATGAATTACAACAACTGATGACAGTAAAGAATGAAGCATCCGCAAGAATAGATATGAAAGTAAACGCGAAGAAGACGAAGGTAATGGTTATTGAGAGGAATGAAAGTTTAACGTCATGTCAGATAATGATAGGAGATAAAAGAGTAGAACAAATGAGTGATATTTGGGTGCATTGTTTACGAGGGATAGGAAGTGCGAGGGTGGTATTGAAAGGAGAGCGAAAGCGGGAAACAGCGTTAACGGTACACTGCTCTCAATTGTGGCGAGAAAAATGTTTCGTGCCAAGTTCGCCTTACCATAGTTCACGGAGTACTGATACCAACACTCATGTACGCAAGTAAATCGTGGGTATGGCAGAAGAAGCATAAAAGTAGAATAAATGAAGTAGAGATGAGAACTTTGAACAGAAGTATATGTGGTATTATATTAAAAAATAAAGTAAGAAATAGTACATTTAGAGAAAAGTGCGGATTGAAAGACGATGTAGTGACAAAAATTGGAATTTGAATGTTGCGTTGGTTTGGCCATTTTGGAGAGAATGGTGAAAAAAGAGTTAAGAAAGATTTTTATCCAGCATGTATAAACGGAGATATCGGTAGGTGCAGGCCTAGACGGATATATGTTGACCAAACGACGCGCTGAGAAGGGTCAAATTAAAATTTCCGTAACCGACGAGCGTGTATAAAAACATTGACGAATGCAGAGGAAGCGAAAGAGATCTGTTCGAATCGCAGCATTTGACATTCGCATATTGTTTCTGCCTACCTTAACGGAAGACAAGCTTGACAAATATGTATGCATGTAAGTATCGTCTTAATAAGAGAAATAGAATCTAAAACAATAATCTTTAGTAATTACATTTATCTGTCTGTCTATATGTTTTATTCCGGCATCACACGAAAACAACTGTATAAAATCCGACGACGTTTTCTTTGTTGTATGCTTGATGGTTTAACTTAAACACTGGTGTATGTTTTCTCTATCATTTAAGTGATAGTCAAGCGACTATGCAAGCATTTGTATCAATAAGAGTTAATTCAGGGTTAAATATTAATTAAAACCTAAATAATTTGGATAGGCATAATAGAGTTAATTTGGTATGGGTCCCTGGTCATATAGGCATTAAAATGAAAAAGTCGGTGAGTTGGCGAGAAGGGGATGAACCGTTGTACTTGCATCAAGTTGTTAACCATGACCTTGAGGAGTTTGCGAAAATAAAACAGAAATGGAGAAACAGGAATGGAGGACATTGAAGGGTCTCAGGCATTCTAAAATCCTTAACGACAAGGTTTAGCGATGGGATAAACTCATCTACAGCGGTGGCAGACAACTGGCAACACTTATAATGAGTTCCTTAACTGGACATATGCCAGTAAGTCATATACTATACAAGATGGGTCTATCCTTGGACACATTATGCAGATTGTGCAGTAAGGAATCGGAATGCGTATAAGTCTACTGGGAACGGTTTATCCAGAGCCAGGGCACTATAGATATCTTAAACCGCGGGATATCGTAAAGGTAACACATAGAAGCTATAAAATAATGGTATATGACTGGGGGTAGCACAAAAAAGCACAATGGGTCGACATGCAACGGCTTAGTTAACCCATACGCGAATAGAATAAAAGATAAAGAAAAGATCTTGATATGTTATTTAGAATTGGTCTATTTTATTGGATTTTTACTTCTGAAATCTACGTACACGAACTAGCGGGCAAAAAGTTTATTTAGAATAAAAAATAATTTTCCAAATTGGTTTGTAAATAATGGAGTTGTGAGGTATCAAAAAAAAAAAGGTAAAAATACCGAATTGAGAATCTTCACCTTTTATGAAGTTGTTTTAAATGGAACATAAACACGAATCGTGTATTGGTGCGCCTACGGTGCTAAATATTACGTTCTTACCACAAAAAAGTTAAACTTGTGATAGACAGGTGTTAAATTCACTTTTAGAAGTCCCACTACAAATGGGCATCAAACCCCTGATTATGTCTCAACTAGAAATTATAAAGTAAAAAAAGTGTTTAATGTAATAAATTTTATTGTAATATATCTAATAAATGTTTTGCCATTGCATAAAATTACAATAAAACATCATTACACCGATTAAACAACGTTCAATCACTAAGACAGTGTTTTGATAAACACCGTTTAGATAGGCGAGCGTTTTAAATGATTTCTGTGGTAAGAGCGTATGCAGTGTACGTATAAAGTACACATTAAACCGCGGCACTTCCTCATAATGTACTATTATGTTGTAAACATTGCGGCTCATACGACTATTTATAAATAGACACAGCTCTTTTAAAAGCGCTAATCATAACTGTTAATTTAGTTAAATGATTCGCTTGTTGACGCCTGTTGGCTTTAAAACATAAACACATAAAATATTTTGATTTGGTTATTATTAATTGATTTGTTATTATCATTTCGCAGCGCCGCGCCGCGCCGCGTACGTTTACAATATTAAAAGAGTGATGTCATATAAAAAGTCGAGCGTACACTGAGCCATCGTACACATAAAAATAATGTTTTCATTCGCTTAGCCCGTCCTTGTTGGTACTACTCAGGACGCATAACGATATACTACGATATGTCCCAAGAATATATACCTACAAATAGTGCGCGTGGACGCCTCATGAATACAAACAAATGACATTTAAATTTGTGGCACCGCTTGGAACAATACGAAGCGTATATATAGTGAAGGACTAGCGGAGAATGACCGTGATGGGAGAACAATGTGCACGGGCGCCTCCGAGTCACACTTAAGGCTCCTGTACACGTTGTCTCGCGATCTGGGCCACAGTTAGGAGCACCGCTGCCGTATTATTCCGCATCGGCCGTTCAGAGGTGTCAAAAATATCAATACAGCCGCAATTTATATTTTAAACGTGAAAACAAGAAAAAAATACAAACGGGCTTATACACGTTGGTCCAATGCACTAGAAAAGCGCGTTGGCCCAACGTGAATTGGGCCCTTTACCTGCACTTGTCCCAGCTGTAAATCGTCCAGCAGCGCCGTCTCTTGGCTGAGAGAGCGAGTTACGAGCCTCTTCTTGCGCCGCTTGTGCATCGTCAGGAAACGGCCGGTGCTGATGTTTGTATTATCCATGGTCTCTATCTCCGAGCCGCGATCGATCGAGCGGCGAACCGGAACTTCTTGATCTGAAATGAATACCTTCACTGTATTACACTAATTGAGACCGTGTTCACGTGCGGCGCCAATTAGCGGCTGTAAAATCAAGGGACGCGACACGGGACGATTTCTCGATTCGACAATCTGATATCGATACCGCATCTATCGGAAACAGAGCTGTTTATCTAGTACTTTGTTTACTGAAGCGTTGATAAAAAGCCAGTAAAAGCATGTATGTGCACGCTAAATATTGTCGCGGCCCTAAGTACCGCGGCAGTCGATTACTGGATCCTGTGAAACTCGTTATGAGAGAGATCGTTTACACCACACGATGATATTACGATCCGATTAATATATGGTCTTTTTTTTTATACAACTTAGAATCACAAACAAGCTGACGGCCCACTTGATGGAAAGTGAAGTGGTAACCGTCGCCTATATACATGAGCAGTGCAATGGACATAACAGAGTATAATACTGTTTCGCCCATGATACCTCCATGCGTTGCCATTCTTGAGGACTCAGTTGTTATTCCTCTGTACCCTGTAAATTCACGACATATCCTACCCTTCAAACTGAAACACAGCCATGCAAACGCAACTGCTTTACGGTTGAAACACGAATGGGACAGAAGCAAACGACTTTTGTACGAAGTCTCCCTCTGGTCTGGTTTGAAAGATTTGTATTGACTTGGACTTTTGCATACCATGATTTATTAATAATTTATAAGTGAACGGGATCACTTGGGATAGGATAACATTATCAAGTATAAACTTTGCACGCTACTTCGTATGCGTTTTGACTTAGCTACTTAAGCACCCATTTATAGATGGCCCATCAAGATAAAACATACACCAGATTTTAAGATAGTCTGGAACACAACTGTGAAAACCGCATTCACTTAAGTGCAGTACTATTTGCGTAATGCCGGAACAAAAATAAAGACGAAAATTGTAAAAAAAAATGTTGTAACCTTGCTTCTATTATTCATGTTAAGAGACCTTCAATTCAATTTTTCTTAAATGCCTCTTTTATATATTACATTATAACGCGGAAACAAAAGAAATGTAATTCTGGAAATATATTTTGTGTCCTTGACTGAGTATTGAATAATACGACACTGAAATATATTGAAAAGAGAGCAACAGAATTAAGAAAAATTCCATTGCACAATCTTATAAATAACAAATAAAAGTTAATGGACGAACGAAAAAAAAAAAAACAATTAGTTGGAACATACCGAAAGCAGTTCCCGGACTTTTATATAAATTAACCTTTTCATATGATTTAGCTGAAAATATTTAAAATTGGAACGATTTGCGACGTTAGTTGTAAACGCACTTGTTTGCCTACTGGGCTACGCCATACATCAACAATTTAATTTATTTCACACGAACCTATATACTCGAGTTTAAAAGTCTATCTATTTATTACGAAATGACTATGCTTGTACAAGCACCTTTTACGTTAATCTGTGTGATAATGGCAGTGAGTATTGGTCGATCGACAGATATGACCGATATTATAGTAGAGGAGAATAATGTGGCTACAATTAGGTCGCTGTCACACCGCCAAATAATATATTTTATTCCATAAGGGCGCTAATTTTGTTTAACAGAAAACGAGCTTATAAGAAACACTGCACAAGATACGTTTAGAGTAAAGCTTAAAATAAGTGCAATAGTGATTTCGTTAGCAAGTATGCGTATGAGACTACAGGTAATATTAAATACGCCAAATCACAAGACTAAAGGCATGCCAAGCAATATAAGACAAATGCATAAAATCCATGATCTGGCAAAGATGGTAATTTAGAGGAATGCATAAAATTTACTAATGAGTCGATGTGTGTAATTTGTAATTCGATTCTATATGCAAAAATAAAAATAAGCTTAAGAGACTGACGGAAAGCGGTTCTCCATTCATACAGTTTGTCATAATAATGTTATCATGTATTCATTCTTTTTATGCAAAAGGTTATAAGATTGCATAGAGAAATAAGATTATTTTATTGTTCACATGGTCTTTTAGTTAAAAAAGTAAACAGGTTTAAATTTATTGCAACAGTACTATTTTTAGTTAATGATCCGAAAAACAGTGTTCGTCTTTTTAAAATTTATGAAACAGACGCGCGTTGCAGTTTACTCTTACTACGTTTAGATTATTGTGTTGTGATTCACCACTAACATATTTGTTTTATATATGCTTATATAACATCGATAGTGTACTGATCTGCTAGGGTGTGACGACCCCTTTTAATCCCCGACATAAAAAGTGGGGAGAATATAAATTCATAGCTTTTTTCCATCTGTAGCACCGTAACTCCACGTCTGACGTTGCCTATTCCTGTATTTCATGTTTGTTCGATAGCGTTTGGGTATTATCCTTATTTTGTCTGAATACAAATCACATCCTTCTATTGAGCTTCATCTTCTCAAAGGTTGATCGTAAGAGATCCCTCAATAGGATAAATCCGTTAGTGTGTGTTAAATTTATTTTCAAGTTTCCTATATTCATATAGCTGCATGATAAAAGATTTTGATCAAACAAGTTTTGTAAAATATGATAGTAACAATTTCATAGAAAAATCATAAAAGTGAATAGGAGAAATGTTTTATAATTGAGCTGCAAGTTTAATGAGTACGTAATCGTGATGGGAATTACGTATGTTACATTATGTCTAAACATTAAGACATTTCGGTATAGGAGGCCCCGTAGTAAGCATATGGTCCGCGAAAACATGACGGAACATATGGTGTTAACTAATTTATTTTGTGTATGTACCTACAAAATGAATTAAAACGCTTATGTATTTAAATATTCACTTTAAGGAAATACAATTAGATGGGTCCAAAAAGAGTTATTATTACTTAAAAACATAGTAAATGTATTGTACAATGTACATAGAAAATTTTAAAATAGTTACCTAAAATACCTATCGACCTAGGGAATATATTGACTATTGTATATTTTTGAAATACGCTGAAACGGTTTATATACCTGAGTACTTACTTATATACTCGTATACATATATTTATAGTGCAGAAATAACTGTATATAATATACATGTTAATACAGACATGGCGCGCTCATAAACTTCAAAATTTATAAGTACTATTTTCAGCTAGCCAAAATGAATTTCCTGTATTTTAGAAGCTTGTTGTGAAGTCTTTGATAACTCAAAAATTGTTTAACCGATTTAGATGAAAGCTGTCGAATTTTAAAAAACTAACATTTGATTTTGCTAACCTTAAAAATTGCAAATTGGCCCAATATTTTCGATTTTTTGCCAAATACTTCCTGTAATCGTCGAATTTTTTACTTTTTCCAAGCTTAACGACGAAGTTACAGATTTGTTTGAAAAAAAAAGAAGAAAATTTCTTTTGCTTCGTTGTTAACAAAATAAGTCAAATAAACAAAGTTTGATAAAAATAAAGACTTCTTATAAAATCTTTTTTACTCATCTAATTGCATTCCCCCCCTTAAGAGAAGCTTTGTTATGCAGGTACAGGGCGGTTTGGTCGACCGTCACGTAAATTTACAAATATTTTCTTGTTTTACTTGGCATATTTAGTAAACAAACTTGACATTTCTTTTTTAAATGGGCCATTTATAAATAGGACAGGGAAAAATACATAATTAATTTAAAAGACGATATATTTTTTTCCAGCTGTTGTTCAAGGACTATTTGAAAAACAAACAAAATGTTTGTTTAAGAAACGTAAAAAGTATATAAAATCATAAATATCAACACTCCACTATAGTGAAATTAAGATTTTTAAAAATTAAATAAATATTAATTCTTATTTTATTTTACACGAGACGAGAAATAAAAATATACTTTTAATTACTTACGTATTTATACGTTTTTATTGCTTACTTACGTACACATATTTTGTAAATAAATTTGACATTCCTTTTTAAGTAGGCCATTTAAATATAGGACAGGGGAAAATATGTAATTAATTAACAAAAGAATTCTTTACTGTTTTTTTTAATTTACGGACTGCTATTTTGGAACCCAAACATACAATGTTTGTTTAGAAAATGTGTAAAAAATTTTAGAAAATCATACGAAACACACCCCCCCACTGTAGAATCATAACATTTTAATTGGATAAACATTATATCTATTTTTTTATTCATCATCATCATCCTATCAGCCTTTAACTGTCCACTGCTGAACAAAAGGCTCTCCTTTGGGGATTTTGCCAGTAGTTACCACGCTTGGTATTCGGATTGGCAACCGCAGTTAGACTTTGGATATGTTTCAAGAGGGACGCTGCTGTCCATTCCTCGCCCTCTCTTAGTCGCCTCTCACCACACCCACGGGAATGGCTGGCCTATTCTATGCCGGAACCACACAGCCAATTTATTTTACGTGAGTCGAAAATTAAAAATATACGAGTAGTTATTATTACTTACGCATTGACTTCCGAAAACCTGTACAACCAGGTTATGAAATGAGCTCCCTGCCGAAGTTTTCCTAAAAGACTACAGCATGGGGTTCTTCAAAAAGGGGGTAAAGAGGTTTCTTCAGGGTCGGCAACGCGCGTGTAATACCTCTGGTATTGCAGGCGTTCATAGGCTACGGTAACCGCTTACCATCAGGTGGGCCGTATGCTTGTTTGCCACCTTAGTGGTATAAAAAAAAAAACCATTGTACAATTTGTTAATGTGACAAGACCCTTATACGAGGTTTGTCCGGAAAGTACGTATAAAAGTTTTTTAAAAATTTTATTTTACAATTATTCAGGTAAATCAATTTTATCCCCTTCAAAGTACTCCCCCTGTGACATAATGCACTTGTGCCAACGCCGTTTCCACTGTGAGAAGGCTCCTTGAAAGTCCTCTGGTTGTAGGTTTCTCAGCTGCCCCGTCGTAGCTTTTTTTATCTCATTTATGTCCCCCAAATGCCGCCCCCGAAGTACCAATTTGGTTTTTGGGAACAAGAAGAAGTCACACGGGGCCAAATCCGGCGAATAGGGGGGGTGTTCGGTCACCGTAATGGAATTTTTACTCAAAAACTCACGGACAACAAGAGAGGTGTGGGCAGGGGCATTGTCGTGGTGAAGAATCCAACGCCCCTCTCGCGCCAATTCTGGACGAACTCGTGCCACACGAGCTTTGAGGCGTCTGAGCACATCGACGTAGAATTTTCCATCAACTGTCTGGCCTGGAGGGACGAATTCTTGATGGACAATCCCCCGAACATCGAACTCTTTCTCGGCCCTCTCTGAATCTTTTTAGCCACTTGTGGACGGTTGGTTCCTTCACAGCATCATCCCCATAAACTGTTCTGAGATCGGCAAAAATTTCACGGCCATTCTTGCCGAGTTTCGAGAGAAACTTGATTACGACGCGCTGCTCTTCAACGGAAGCGGGCTCCATGCCGACGGGGTTTCGTTAAGAGGTAACTTCACAGATGGCGTGACAAGCCAGTTCGCACCGCACGGCGGTCAGACCAGAACTGAAGCATTGTTAGGGACATAAGGAAGGGGTCCTGCGCTTACCTGGCCTCCCCACTCCTCTTTCTCGCATTCCAGAACACTTTTATACGAACTTTCCGGACAGACCTCGTAATGGAATTATCGGGAAAATGGTTAAGATATTCATGGACTAGTATAAAACATTATCTGCGTTGAACATTGTTAGCCCTTAGTTGGTTAGAATAAAAGGAAACTAAAATTATTACTGTACGTAATACAAACTAGCTCACTAACATTGTAAATGTGAAAGTTGGCGGGGATATTGAAAAGTTTGTATATAAAAACGGATTATTGGATTTTATTTTTTATTAGACCACTTGCTGGTAAGTGGTAATTGTTGTCTATTTTGCATGTTATATGAATAGCATTATAAACTATAAAGAATACTGTAGTGGGTAGCACTGTTATTAATAATTGGAGGGCAGTTACAAAATAAAGTGTGTTGTATATTGAACGCTCGCCTGTGATTTATCCCGCTACTATAAAATATTACATTGGCGACGAAATTAAAGTCAAAACTTACGCGGAAGTGCAAAACTATATTTAAAAAGACGGAGAATAATATAATTTTAGAAAAAAATGTCAGTAGGCAAAGTCAGTGAATTCAATGTTGGAAATGGCGCGTGGTCGGCATACGTGGAAAGATTGAATATGTATTTTGTTGCAAATGAGGTGAAACCGGAATTAAAATTACCGACACTGATATCAGTGATGGGTGATGAAGCTTACGAATTGTTATCAAATCTCGCAGATCCAAGGAAACCATCGGACTTAACCTACAAGGATGCAGTGGAATTATTACGTCAGCATCTGCAACCAACACCGTCAGTGCTCGCTGAAAGACATCGATTTAGACAGCGTCGTCAAGGTGTCGACGAAAACATCACTAGTTACGTGGCTGAATTAAAAAAACTCGCACGACACTGTCAGTTTAAAGATCTAGAGGAAAACCTAAGAGATCAATTAGTATGTGGTTTAAGAAGCGATATTATACGACAGAGATTATTCGCAGAAGACGACAAATTACTGACATATCATTCGGCAGTCAGGATAGCAACATCACTAGAGGCAGCGGAGCGCGACGCGGCAGCAGTGGAATTAAAATCAGCTGGGTGCGAGGTCTTAAACCTTGCGGACGACGGAGGAGCCCCACCAGTGCATTCGATGCAGGGGCGATTTAGAAGAGGATCACATAGCACACGTGGCGGACAGCGCGGCGGCGGAGGTCGGCCGGCAAACACCGCGCGGAGCGGAACAGTCGGATCACAGACTGGGGTCAACGGCAGCGGTGGCTGGGAGCGTAATTGTCGTGGTTGTGGAGCGGCTGACCATTATTATACAGTGTGTCGATTCCGCGATTATACATGCAGCAGATGCAGGCGCATCGGACACCTACGTCGGGTATGCCCGGAACGTAGCGGCAGTAGTCGTAGAGGTCACAACAATAACACGAGGTTGTACTACGGTGAGGCGACCGAGGATCTAACTCGTGACATAAACACCAATGAAGAGGAGTTTCATCATTTGTGTTTGAACGATTACAGAGCGGTGAGTCTACCAATGAAAATAGATAATAAATTGATTAATATGGAAGTCGATACAGGTTCAGCTGTGTCATGTATAAATCATGAAACATATAATAAATATTTCAAACATCACCAACTTGAGAAAAGCGATTTAGTTTTAAATTTTTATGATGGTACTAAAATTCAACCCCTTGGGATAATTAAACCCTTGGTTAGTTATAAAAATAATATAAAGAATCTCGAATTATTTGTTATAAAAGGAGGTACGACATCCTTACTCGGTAGACAGTGGTTAGCAGAGTTAAAAATAAACCTACCTGTTTTTAGCAATTGTCATAGTGTAGATTACGAAGTTGGTCACATGTCACATGAAATAAATTCATTGATTGACAGATATAAAGAGCTATTTAGCGGCGGATTGGGTCGGTACACAGGCGGGGTGGCGACGCTGCGGGTGCGCGAGGACGCCTCGCCGGTATTCCACCGCGCGCGGCCGCTACCCTACGCGTTGCGCGAGGCCGTCGAGGCCGAGTTGGACGCTATGCTGCGCGACGGGGTCATCGAGCCCATCCACTGCTCCGATTGGGCCTCTCCGCTAGTACCGGTAATGAAACCTGACGGTTCCTTGAGAATTTGTGCGGATTATAAGGCAACCGTGAACCCGGTCTTAATAATCGATAGGTATCCTTTACCTAGAATAGATGATATTATGGTAAAATTAAGCGGCGCCCGCTATTTTTCAAAAATAGACCTGTCTCAAGCATATAATCAAATTGAGCTTGACGACACAAAAAAATACACTGTCATAAACACACATAGAGGGTTATATAGGTACAATAGGCTAGTTTATGGACTTTCATCAAGTCCAGGAATATTCCAACGTACTATGTGTGATTTATTAAAAGGTATCCCTAATGTGGAAATATTTTTAGATGACGTTATTATTGGCGGGAAAAATAAACAGGAGCATCTGTTAGCGTTGGAGGCTGTTTTCTCTCGATTACATCGCTTTGGATTAAAGTTAAAAAGTAGTAAATGTGTTTTTCTCGTGAATGAAATACAGTATTTGGGATACGTTATAAGTAAAGAAGGCATCAAAACAGATCCATCTAAGGTTGAGGCGATAAAGAACATACCCAAACCATCTAACATACAAGAATTACGATCATTCTTAGGATTAATAAATTTCTATACTAAGTTTATTAAAAATATGAGCCAAAAACTAGTGCCCCTATATGAATTACTAAAAAAGGGGCGCATATGGTTCTGGTCCCCAGAATGTGAAAAAGCGTTTTTAGAAATTAAACAAACACTATCTAGTACTGAAGTCTTAGCCCATTATGATCCAAAAAAAACCTTTATTCGTGACGTGCGACGCGAGCGCACGGGGACTGGGGGGTGTTCTATCGCAGCCGAGCGATGACGGCCGCCGCGAGCGGCCGGTTGCGTACGTATCTCGTACACTTAGTGATACGGAGAAAAATTATTCACAAATACACCGCGAAGCATTAGCGATCATATTTTGTATGAATAAGTTTCACCAATACTTATATGGTCGCCATTTTACATTACGTACAGACCATAAGCCTCTGGTATCTATTTTCGGACCTAATAAGGGTATACCAACGATGGTAGCTAGTCGTATGCAGAGGTGGGCCATAATTCTCTCTGCATATACTTTTGATATTGAGTTTGTAGGTACTAAAGAAAATGGCGCGGATGGCTTATCGCGATTGCCGATTATTAGCAGTAAACAAGAAAATAAACCAACACCCCCGGAACAAACGTATTTACATTTTGTACAAGAGGCCTTATTATTAGATTATCGGGAAGTTAAACGGCAGACATCTCGAGACCCCTTATTATCAAAGGTACTAAGTTATATTCGCGACGGATGGCCTACGCAATGTGAGATTTCTAGTTTAAAACCGTATTATAACCGGAGGGAGGAATTATATGAAGAGTTGGGTTGTGTCATGTGGGGCCACAGGTTAGTAGTGCCAGATAAATGTAAAGAGAAAATATTAATTATGTTACACGAGCCTCACATGGGAATAGCCAAATCTAAAGCCTTAGCTCGCAGTTACGTATGGTGGGCCGGGGTAGACGAGGCGGTGGAGCGAATGTGTCGCGAGTGCGCGGCGTGCGCGGCGCAGGCGGACGCGCCGCCGCGACACGCGCCCCGCCTGTGGCCCTGGCCGGGCAGGCCATGGACTAGGCTGCACTTAGATTATTTGGGACCAATTTTTGGAAAAACTTATCTAGTGGTTATTGATGCTATGTCAAAATGGTTAGAAGTTTTTAATGTTACCAGTACTTCGGCTATTGGACTTATAGATCGTCTAAGCGAATTATTTAGTCGGTGGGGTTTACCTAAACAAATTGTTAGCGACAATGGACCACAGTTTGCGTCTAGAGAATTTGAAAATTTTATCAAACATAACGGGATAGAGCACATTTTTACGGCCCCTTATCATCCGGCATCTAACGGATTAGCGGAAAATGCCGTAAGGACTATTAAACGAGTAATCAAGAAAGCAGTACAAGAAAGAAAAAACATTGATAGATCCTTGTGGGCATTTTTATCATACTACAGAAACGTGGAACATTCTACTACTGGTGAGAGCCCGGCGCTATTATTGTTAGGGAGACGTATCCGCACCCGTTTGGATATAGTTAAGCCAGATAGGGAAAGTAATGTACGAAGGGCCCAGCAACGTCAACAAAACTCTGCAACAGGGGTGACAAGAGAAATAAAAGAGGATGATGATGTTTGGTATAGACAGTATTCAAGGGGAGATAAATGGGTACCAGGGCGAATCTCAGAATGCTTAGGGCCGAGTAATTTCGAAGTTATAAGCAAAGATGGAAACGTAGTACATAGGCATGTGGATCAGATACGTAAACGATCTAGTAGTCGATTATCGCTTGTTTCTACTCCGGATATAAATAAATCGTTAAACACAAATTCTCAAGGTACAACACAGGTTGGAGAAGGTACAGAGGAATTAGTACAGTCGGAGGAGTCAGAGGAGGAAAATATCAACCCGCAGGAAACAGAACGATCGGAACAAGTTACAGGGAATATTAGGAGCCCTTTACTTTCACCTGAGCAGCGACCACCTGCCCCGCCTGTTCCGACACCACCCCGAACTCGCCCAGTTAGAATGTGTAGACTTAAGTTTCCTAGACATAAGATTTAAAATTAATTTGTAATATTTTCTATAAATTTTAGTTAAGATTAGTTATAAATTTAGTGTAGAGGATTGTAGTGGGTAGCACTGTTATTAATAATTGGAGGGCAGTTACAAAATAAAGTGTGTTGTATATTGAACGCTCGCCTGTGATTTATCCCGCTACTATAAAATATTACAAATACACTGTAACGTTCATGGTACGGGAGGGGTATATATACCAGAGCGAGACTTTGTACAAAAGTCGTTTGCTTAAGCACCTCTGTCCCATTCGTATTTCAACCGTGAAGCAGTTGTGATTGCATGACTGTGTTTCGTTTTAAGGATGGAATATGGCGTGAATTTACTGGGTACAGAGGAATAACATCTGAGTCCTCAGGAATGGCAACGCATGGGGGGTATCATGGGCGAAACAGTATACTCTGTTATGTCCATGGTACTGCTCATGTCTATAGGCGACGGTTACCACTTTCCATCAGGTGGGCCGTCAACTTGTTTGTCATTCTAAGTTGTAAAAAAAAGGTATTGAAATGAGCTCCCCCCTATCGAGGTTTCTCCAAGGGATTACAGGGGGTTAAGAGGTTTCTTTGGGGATATTATTGTTGGTATTTATAGACTACGGTAATCGTTACCATCAGGTGGGCCGTATGATTGTTTGTCACCTTAGTGGTATAAAAAGTAATATGGTATATACCTCATACGTCGCCATCATTACGCCTCTGTGCCACACCTATATCTCACTCTTCAAATGGAATAACAGCCATGTAAGTACAGCTACTTTTTTTAAAATAAATTGTAATGGAATGGAAAGGTGAAAATGAACGCAGGTCAAAATACACCCAGAATTAATCGCGACTTTATAGCAGAGAAGACTGGAAGGAATGGGGATACAAAGACGGAGATACTCAAACGACTTTTGTACAAAGTCTCCGTCTAGAAAAAAAGCCGGTCAAGAGATAGTCGGACTCGCGCAACGACAGTTCCTTACAAATCCATAAAATTTAATTATTTTTGTTCTGTGAAATACCTAGAAATTTATGGTTTTCGAATTTTTCCTTTTACTTGCACTACATGACACTGCTTCTTGGCAAATTTCATAATTCTAGGCTAACAGGAAGTACCCTATAGGTTTTGATTCCCTTTGCGAATGTCAAAATATGCGATATAAATGGAACAAAAACGGCCGTATCTTTTGATTGCGTCGATTTAAAAGCTTGATATTTTTACTGTTCTAAGATATTGCAAACCTGAGTATATGATATTAATTTCTACTTGATACCTTCATGCGTCTCTAAGAAAAAGGACAATGAAATGATCCTACAAGGGTTCCTTTCCTTTGGTGGTACGTAACCCAAAAAAAAAAACCAAGACAATTTACTCCTTCCACAATACATTAACCTTTATAAATAACCTTATACATGCACAAAACGAGACTACGACATTGTACATTTTATTTAATGGACTGAAACCTGGATAGAGGTGAAATTATTGTATCCGATTTGTGATAAATTGCCGTTGGAACAGCGTTAGACCAAATTGCCTATAACAAACACCATGGCACACATACGCGCACGGGACACGGTACGCTTTAAATATTTTAGTAAGCTGATCAATATGCTATTGCGCGATGCAGCAGTGGCAAATTCAACATTGTAAACTGTATGCAGTATTGAAGCAAGTAATTATAAAGGTTTATGTTGCCTTGGCACTTTCATCGCTTTTAATCTATAGTAATCAATAATAACGTTGTTTTATTCATTTCAGACGTTAGTAATGCAAACTACCAGTTCCATTGCTAGCACTGTACCCTCGTGGTCTCTCCTAAAACCTATCGTGGTGAATTTGAGGCGTATTAGTCACGATGGGCTACCTGACCTGCTTAATATAGACGCCTCCCATAGACTGCCATAAAGAACGGTTCCGAGCCACTTGCATCCACTGATACTTCTTAATGCATTTAAGATCGTCGTTCTATCAAGTGGGAATGCCATACTACGATGCGCCACTCAAGAACCTATCTTCACCATCGGTTGTCGGTTCTTCGAACTATGTGACCAGTCCATTGCCACTTCAGTTTACATATCCTTCGAACTATGTTGGTAATTTTGAAAATGGAAGCAAACGGACAGTTGACTCGATTCTAAAATAATCTGCAGATTTTTTTTTATTCAACTTAGAATGGCAAACAAGCTGACGGCCCACCTGATGGAAAGTAGTAACCGTCGCCTATAGACATGAGCAGTACCATGGACATAACAGAGTATACTGTTTCGCCCATGATACCCCCCATGCGTTGCCATTCCTGAGGACTCAGGTGTTATTCCTCTGTACTCAGTAAATTCACGCCGTATCCCACTCTTCAAACCGAAACACAGCCATGCAAACACAACTGCTTCACGGTTGAAACACGAATGGGACAGCGGTACCCAAGCAATCGACTTTTGTACAAAGTTCCTCTCCCTGTTACTTGAACATTATTCAATAGTAGTAGAAATAAGAAACTAGATTAATTGATTGAATATTGCGATTGGTTATTTATTTCATTTGTACAATATGGCTTAGAACAGGCCAGCCCTTCCTTTCCCGTGGGTGTCGTAAGAGGCGACAAAGGAGGGTGATGAGATGAAATGAAATGAGCTGCATCCCTCTTAAAACATCTCCAAAGACTAACTGCGATTGCCAATTCGCCTTCCAAGCTTGGCAACTACTGGCAAAACTCCCCTAAGGGGGAGGCTTATACTCAGCAGTGGACAGTTAAAAGCTGATGTGACGATTAATTTTATTTAGAGGTTGTTTCTATGTACGTATTTTTGGCTACGTTTTCATGGGACTCTACTCTATAACTATATATATTAGTTTATCTATCAGCGAATTTTCCTGCAGTATTTTATTCTATTAGTATAGATTTTATTTTATTTATTTACTATTTTTCACACGTGACCTGGTTCGTATAACCCGGATAATACATTGATTGACAGGAATAAAAGAGATTTGCCATGGGAATATTTTGTACGGAAATCGTCTGCACTGGGCACATCTGTCCCACTCGTAATTTTGCGAGGATGTTTCGGTTTATATATTACCGGCCCCACATGGAGTGCTGCTGTCACTTATGGGCGGGAGCACCTAGATACCAGCTTGAACCTTTCGACTCAGTGCAACGACGAGCTATGAGAATTGTCGATGATCCCAGAGTTGCAAGCGGTATCGAACCCTTAAAGCGTCATTAACACCCAAAAAAATCGTATTATGTTTAACCTAAGCTGCTACGTAAAGACTACATTTCACATTATATATTTATTTTTATATAATAAATTTTAGATTAATAAATAAATATATAAATAGTTATTTATATAAATAAGCATTCTACAATTGTAAATAATAAACATGGTTATACATATGCACTTATAC